CAGCCATGGGAGCTGCTTCACGTCGTCCATGGCCGAGCTTCGAGGGTGGTCGTTTGCTTCGTATGTTTGTTGTGTGTGTGTTGTGTATGTGTGGTGTGTGTTGAAGGTGAAGGACGGGGGGAAGGCAGCCATGGGAGACCGGGTCGGTGACGGGGACAGTGTGTGTTTGGGTTATGGACTGGGCTGACCGGGTCGACCCGGTTTGAAATGGACCGGGTCGTAGGTGTTTTGGGCCTAAATTTATAACTGAAGAGGAGACCCAATTCCGATTTTCTTCTATTTTTTGCTCTCTTTTCTTTTACTTCCTAATTAATAAAACTAAAATTCTAAATTAACTTATAAACTAAATTAACTTATCAAAAATACTAATTAATTCCAAATAACTATTATCGCACATTTAAATAGCAATTTAGACGTTAAATGCTAAAAATGCAACGTACATTATTTTTTATGATTTTCTCATTTTTGTAAAACAAACTTAAATAAATACTAAATGAAAATGCGACATATTTTATATTTTTATTAATTTAAACAAATAAACATGCACAGACAAAATACAAATAATTATACAAAAATACCACAAAAATTCAAAAATTGCACACCAAGGAAAAATCGTTTTATTTTGAATTTTTTGGGAGTAATTCTTTCATAGGGCAAAAATCACGTGCTTACAATTAGCACTTGAGATTCCCATTCTAGAATCCAGAACCCATAAAGTTAAGATATTGGATTGGTCTCTGCTTGGAATTCCACTACTATAACCGTATTCGGAAGCGGTGTGTTTGGCCGAACCCACTGCACGTACAGTTAGTCCGCCCATAGGTGCTGGAGTAGTGTGTCATTGGATAATGCAAAGAGTGGAATAGAAGATCTTTTGACTAGTCTTGGTCTTTTAGTTCATATCTACTGAATCTTGGTGTCAAATATTGAGGTAAAATCCTAGTTCGATGTAAACTTAAAGAGATATGATGCATACAGAACTAAAGACATACCCCTATATAGATCTTATATATTTACTAAAGTAGAAGTGTAGGGCGGAATACTAGTCTTGCTATAGAGTACAATGTTGGATGGAGCTAAGATCAGATGCAAGCATGTGGTTTACCAAGTGCATAGAGTGACATGTTATATGCACTGCAGGAGCATCTATCAGAGAGAGAGAGTATCACTTTAGTTTAATAAGCTTTTGTCTGAGCAGTTGTTTTGTACTCTAAAGTAACTGGGAATCAATGATTCAGTTGTCTGTGTATCATTGAGTCAGGTGAAAAAAGATGTACAAAAATGATATTTGCTGGGAGTTATATGATTGAATTGATACCTTGGTATTACTCTGCTGATAAATGATGTGTCGTGGCCCCCAGGGCTTTGGTCTAGTAGTAAGAGCACAATGTGTGATCTGTGAATCAGGCGTGCGCCACGAGTTCGAACTCTGCACTTGAAAAAAATTGATATTTAAGTGGAGTAGATGGGGGAGCAGGCTCATTATCTGCCGAGTTTCGAACCGCGCTCCAGCTGACCAGAAAAAAAAATTGATCCATAGTGTGTTGAGATAAAGAATTGAAAGAACTGCAAACAAGAAATGGTTCCGTCTATATGTATGGTTTGAAATCTAATGGGTTACTAATAACCAAACATCAAATTTTATTGCGGCACTATTTGAGGAGTTTAATGTGTTAATTTGACTTGTGTATTATATAAGTAGTAACTTAAAAAAACTCTTAAAACAGTAATTGGAAAGTTAGCTTTATTGTAAAAACATCATATCCAGTTTTAATTTGTTTAGCTAAAATGAGTTTGATTTTGAGACTTGTAAAATTTTATAAAGTAGTAATTTAATGGTGTTAAACTTTTTGGTATTTCTCCAAATAATAGGAACTTGTCGTTGAACGGGGATTAGGGAAACAATACTCAGCGCTAGCTTAAACGATCTAGCTTGGCATTTCTACCACATGTGTTTCTTATCAGTTTGCTGACTTTGCATTTATTTACTGGGCAGATTATAGTTGAAAAACTTAAGACTGGTGTTGTGAGGAGTGACGATCCAGATTCTATTGATGTTGGTCTGGGTTTGGACTCTAATCTTGGCACCCTTGATGCCTTCTTTGCTAGTTTGTCGATGATCCTTGTCAGTGAGGTCAGTAACTCCGCCACTGTATTCTTTTACTACTGCTGTTTTTCATTGCAGTTAATTTCTGGTTAGTTCTGCTTTTCTTCAATCTTCATGAAAGAAGTTGTATACTAACTTGTGATTTTCTGCTTCTCATGATATTAGTGATGATGACTATGAGGTTATCTGTTGAAAACATAAAAACCAGCTGGCTGGCAACTTTTTAAATAAACACCACTGTTTCCTAAACCTAACTGCAGTTTGGCGATGTACTATTCATTTTGGCAGTGCCCTCCTCAAGATATTGCCTTACTCTCGTTTAATAAGTGTTTTATGGATGGCTATGCTGCTAGATTGGTGATGAGACATTTATAATAGCAGCTCTGATGGCAATGCGTCACCCCAAATCAATCGTTTTATCTGGTGCACTCAGCGCCTTGTTTGTTATGACTGTAAGTAATTGAACTTCCTTCATTACTTTGTTAGTTCACACATACAGCATTTCTTCTCTCCCCTTCATTAGGTTCAATTATTTCTCATACATTTACAGTTCTCGCTCATAGTATGTGCCAGTATGTTAGTACTAACTCTAGGTCTCCTCTTCATATAACTAGATACTCTCTACTGGGCTTGGTAGGATAGTGCCAAATTTGATATCAAGGAAGCATACAAATAGTGCAGCTACAGGTTGGTATTTTACATATTGCTGTTCTGTAATTGTCTCGGTTTACTTTAACGATGTGATACCTTTTCTGTTGATTTTGGCCTTTTAGCTGTCTCTAAGATCTCGAGTTGAAACTTGACAGTATTTTTCCACTGTTCATATTCCAGTTTCTTGCCAGATTTTCTATTCGTCCTTTGTGCAAGTCGAACTAGTGAATAGCTATTCGGTCTCTGTGCAACATAATGTAAATTGTGATTTCTAATTGGGTTGCAATACTATTATATTTTTCTGTTTTTCTTCTTGACATGCCTATTTTCCCCTATATATTCTTTTTCTTCTTCGGCAAAAAAGCTCCTTTTTCTTCTTTTTATTTCCCCATATTTTGTCGGATAAGGCTGATTCTATCGTTCCCATCCGTATTTTGTTCTATTATATAGACAAGAGGGGTTGCTCTGATGGTAAGCAACCTCCACTTCCAACCAAGAGGTTGTGAGTTCGAGTCTCCCCAAGAGCAAGGTGGGAAGTTCTTGGAGGGAAGGATGTCGGGGGTCTATTTGGAAACAGCCTCTCTACCTCAGGGCAGGGGTAAGGTCTGCGTACACACTAACCTCCCCAGACCCCACTAAGTGGGATTATACTGGGTTGTTGTTGTTGTTGTAGATAGATACAAAGTTCTGTTTTTTCAATTTTTGTGCAGTTCTTTATCTCTTTTTCGGGCTTCGGCTTCTCTATATTGCATGGAGATCATCAGATTCAAAGGCTTCCCAGAAAAAGGAAATAGAGGAAGTATGTTCCCCTTTCTATTGTTTAGATGTTTTACATTGCTATATGGTCTTGCTTTAAATTCTGGAGTACTACTTTTGATTTTCACTTTTTCTGGAGTTGCCGGTAAATTTGATCCCTTGGTGAATATTAAATATTTCAGGTGGAAGAAAAACTTGAAGCTGGACAGAGCAAAGCAGCAGTCAGGCGATTCTTTTCTAGATTGTTCACACCCATATTTTTGGAGGTATTTATGTGCATTTGAGCTCAATATGTATTCCATTCAAAGGAATGCCTGTTATTTTTTTAAATTTCACTCAATTTGGGTCAAACACTTCATGACAATGGCTAAAATATGCAATCATCGAGGGATGGGGTATTAAATTCTTTAACGAGTGAATTTTGTGCCCTTTTCAAGATGCATTGATTGCTTTATTTGTCAAGGAAAAGGGAATTTCCCCACGGGTGCGTTCAATAAGTGAACCGGAAAATTGTGATAAGAGGAATCTAAGTAATCAGTTTTCCTCTTAATTTCGTGGAGAATATTACATTTTCTTCCATCAAATATCTGGAATGGCATTGCTGACATTTCTTCTTCAAGTTTACTTCATTTCCCCGTTTCCCACTTAAATGACCTATTCCCACATTCTAATTTCTATCCAATTTCCCATTATTTTGCTTCCTGCAATCGTGTCAAATGTTGTATTTTGTTGGTCCGACCATATCAGTTTATTACTTTATTGATAAAATCTATGAAATTTATAAAATAACTAACATTAATTTGTTGTTGTCTATGCAGTCCTTTATCTTGACCTTTCTCGCAGAGTGGGGAGACCGCAGCCAGATAGCAACAATTGCTGTAAGATATTCTTATTTCCTTTTGATTGGGGCTCACAAAAGACTGGGTGCTACCTTTGTTTTCACGTGCTCGTTAATATCTTGGTTTTCAAGTTGTAGCAATTTTCTAAAACAGTTACTCTAGAAGTATCACTGGCTCGAGCAAGAATACAGCTATGCAGAAACATACCGTGCTTATTAGCTTAACAATGTGTGTCATTTAAGTTCAAGCGACGTGTTCAATTGATTATGATCTTCATTCTGCAGTTAGCTACACATAAAAACGCAATTGGAGTTGCTGTTGGGGCAACAATAGGACACACTATATGTACTTCAGTGGCAGTGGTAGGTGGAAGCATGCTTGCATCGAAGATCTCACAACGAACAGTAGCTACAGTCGGAGGGCTTCTTTTCCTCGGGTTTTCCTTGTCATCGTATTTCTATCCACCTCTATGATTTTGACTTCATAAATCGACCTTAATTCTTCTGGAATGGCATTGTTGAATCCAATTTTTCGGTTATTTCAATAGGCTTAAGAGGGAAATGAATTATTTGTACTACAGCAATTTTACCTTATTTTTTTGTGTAAATGCAAGATTATTTAGTATGTTTTACATGAATCGGAAACATTGCTGAAAAAGGGCAGTGGTCTATGTTTACATTGTTGTAGAAAGAATTATGAAAAATTTGAGATGACTTCCTGTCAATTTATTCAAATGCCTAATGTCTAAGAGCTACTTTTACAAGTTAGAATATTGGAAACAAGGGGGAACTAATACAAAGATACAGGAATTTTTATAAAGCACTACAGTTTAGAGTCTAAGTACCATAGGTAACTATAGTTTGCATAGTTACTATTTGTAGCTACTGTTCTATTTGTTATCAGCTTATATCACTTGTATTCAGACGCGTAATGAATACAACCTGTGTCAATTGTATTCGTTGCGCAAATGAGTACCACATATATCGGCTGTATTCTTTCGCGCAGTAAATACAACCAAGGCGAAATATAGAATAACAGAATGCTCTTATTGAAAGTCGAATTCAAGACCTCCGCTTACTAAGCGGGCACTCTAACCAATTGAGCTATGGGAGGTTGTTGCTATCCTGTTTCAGTTCAAAACAATTGATATCTTGTTTCAATACTACATTGAATTCGCTATAAAATTCAAATACAACTATGACTTTTTTGAATGTATAGCTAAGAATAGTAAATGCAGTGCATATATTTGCTTTGTTGCGCAGTTTTTCCATAAACTAATCTCTACATTATTATTAACCGCATGATAATCTTTATATTATTATTTGTTGCATAAATAACCCATGCATTATAATACATGGACATACTTTTCCCCATGATAGCCACCTTCCTCCAAAATAAAACTAAATTTATTGATCTTTTCTTTGTTCTAATGATTATTTCAGACTATTTTGATTGAATAGGAGTTAGGTGTCCTATCTTTGTTTCATATTAGAAAGGAAAATGAAAGACAAAACATTTAATGTAGTTTCAGCTAAAAGAATAATGTAGCCTTTTTGTTAGGTTTGTTAGTTTTTTTCAGTCCCCACAAATGTATAGGCATTTGTCTACCTCAATGCCTAAACTTGGGTAAATGTCCACATCAAAGAACTCAATCAAGAAAATTTTGTAAGTACATGACCTTTAGGAATGTTTTATTTCTTCAAAAAATAAAGTTTGTACTTAGCTAATCTTGGGTGCAACTCTATGGATATATGCTGGTTTTATGTCTTAACTAAAGAGTTGTACTTTGAGGATATTCTAGAATTCTAACGATAACAACATACCCAGTGAAATCTCACAAGTGGGACCTGAAGAGGGTAGTGTATATGCAGATTTTCTCCTATCGTGTGGAGGCAAAGAAATTGTTTCTGATAGACCCTCGACTCAAGTCAAGCATAGTCACAACATTTTAGACAAAGAAATACAACATTGAAAAAGTCAATGAAAAAGAAGCAGTAGCGACAAATCGCTAGGTAATCATAAAACCAAAGCAGAAACATATTCTATAATTCTAGCTAATTTCTATCCATGGAGTTCCCCATTTAACATGTATAATATAAAGTTTTGCAGTTATCGACACTTAAACTATTAGAAGATAGCAGATACTCAGTTAAATAATCGAGTCGTATGTCAGTTGACCGGACCCCACCATTAACAAAAAACATTGTGCAATGTTTACTACATTTGTAAGCCATACACAAGTTATTTTGTTCATAAGTTATATAATTAATATCCACAAGGTACAGAGAGAAGATCTTATCCTATAAAGGAATAATTCAATGCAAGAAGTTTGGACCCAAAGTTAGTTACACATAATATTCCTTTACACTTAATATCATACATTTGCTTGTAATAGACTCCATAGAGGTGGAGTACAATTTAAGTATATAAACATTCCACTAGAAATGAAATGAAAGAAAAGGAAAAGAGAACTTAGATTATATATGTTTAGTGTCAATGGGAGAGTACTGTTTGGTATGATCTCTCCAACAAAAACAAATGGTGACTTCTCCTCTAAGTGTGGCAAGTAAAAAAGAGAAGACCCCACCATGCATTTAGCCCATCATCCTTCTACCAATCCACACACATGGGAGTTAAGTTATATACACCGTTAATGTAAAAAATATATTATGCACTATCAGCATTGGTAAAGTCAGAAATTCCGTTAAGAGTGTTCAAAGTTTAATATATGTACAGTCAGACGTTTCTATAACAACATCTCTATATAACATTCATTCACTATAAAAGCTAAGTTTTTTTCGAAACTGATTTTTAATGTTATGTTATAATATATATATTCTCTAATCTCTATATATAACAACACTTCACTATAACAATCAAAAAATATCAGAACATACGAGGTTGTTATAGAGAGGTTTGATTATATATAAAAAGTAATTTTTAACCAATATACAAAGTATTTTATATATGCAATGTAATTTTTCAATGAAGGATATTCAGTTCAACTTAATAGCCTTCACTCGATGTAGCTACGCCGCTGACGGTGCAGTATATACAAAGTATATTTCACTATCAGTGCATTTTAAGAACCATTTGTAACAGATTATCTACTTTAATTCCAGGTTATAATCTCGCTTATTATTAAAAATTACTTATAATTGCTTTTTAAATAACTTGATAGTGTTAAAATTTCTTGTGATGCCTTATATAGAAGTTAATTTGTAACATATAAAAAGAAGCAAAATAAAGACAAAGAAAGAGATATGAAGAATGTACAGTTGATATGTTTGATTTGGACATCCTAAGGTTTTTTTAATTTATCTTTTTTTTGAGCTAAATATTTGTTATGGACTTTTTAAATACGTACCATTATTCTGACTTAATAACAAAGGCAACTAGGAAACATTATATAACAAACTATTGTCTTTCACCAACCATCTTCCTCCTCCATCATCTATATCTCATTTCTAAAGAAGAAAAACAATACACTCTTTGATAAGTTTAGTGTGTGTGTGTGTGTTTTACTAGGTTTGTTAGAATACAACAATAATGAGGTATAGAATGGAAAGATTTGTGTTACTTCCATTTTCTGTGGGTTGCATCTCTGAATCAAGTGTTGCAGTTGGTCATCATCATCAGCTTAATAAAAGTCCAAGCCATGAACCCAAGTTAACTCCCACAAGTATGTCTCTCTTTCTTTTTCTCAAACATCATTGGCGGAATCAGAAATTTTAACATGATTTTTTTTTAAAAAAAAATATTAGCTCTAGGATTTAAACATGCGATATAAAGTCATTTTTGAACCATCTTTATCACTTTACTTTAATTTTCTTTATCTCCAAAAAAAAATTATTATTTTTACCTTATTTACGGAATATAATTTTTCGTAAAGGGGTTTAATTGAACCCGTCATTACATGTAGTTTCGCCACTATACCACCCCATCACTTCTAAAAAGGGCAGTCAAGTGCATGAGGCATCTCGGGTTCACGCATGATCCGGGGAAGGATCGGTGTCCAAGGGGCAGGGTCGAAGCTACATTCTATTAAGGGTGGTCAATTGACACCCTTCGTCGAAAAATTATAATGTGTGTATAGGTAAAATATTAAGTTTTGTAGGTATATAACATATATTGAACACTCTTTGTCGGGGATTTTTTTTTTTCTTCTTTCAAGTTTGAACACCTTTGGGTAAATTTCCTTCGCCACTGCCAAAGGGTGTGATGTAGACAGTCTACCCTAATATAAGCCTCAATGGCTGCTTCCACCCCGTCGCTTCTCTTCCCTTTTTAATAAATTTATATGTGAAGTTTTGGCTTATCTTAGTTTTTAACATTTGTCATAATGCAGGAAGCCAAAAAGAAGGAAAGGAGGAAGAGCGAGAAGATGAAGATGACAAAAGTTTGGAGGGTGAAAATTTGAAGAATACATTAGGCCTTATGGCCCTTCCCAAATTTCAGAGGCTTTTTAAAAATTTCAAAAATTTGTCTCAGCTATTTGGTAAGTTCTCCTATTGGATATTAGTATACTCTTCTTTTAAAAATAAAATAAAATAAAATAAAATATTAGTATAATACCTATGATGAAATTGGCTGCTTTCTGTTTAATCCATGCTTTGTACATGTTTATTCCCGCTATATTACGTGTCTACATCAAATCAAATAATTTAATCAAGTCAAATTTAAATGAGAATAGGTATCGCTTAATTTTTCATTAAAATATTATATACTATCAACTGAATTTGTAGTAAAAAGATCGGAAAAAAGAAACAAGATCTACACAATCAGCGTGAGAAAACGTGAAGGTAATAATTAAATTAAATAGTTCAGTTGGATCGGATGTGCTTAATTGCTTATAACCTTTGATCTTTTAACAGATTATTCACTAAAATAAAAAATGTATTCTTAATATACACTCAAAATCAGATCTAGATTCTTAAGTCAGCGAATACATATTAGTTATTACTACAATTAAACAAATATTTGTAGATTTAAAGAAAAACTAGTCATTTAATTTGTGATAATGGATATAAAATACTTCGCTACATAAGATTTTGTATAAATAATGTCGGTCTATTAGCACAACTCGGTAATTTGTATGTAGATTTGGGTGTAGAGTTATAGAGGTTCTAAGGCTTTATTTCTTATTCTAAATTAATGTTTACTTTGCGTTACTCTCAAAGATATTTGCTCGCCTATATCCATCTATTCTATAGATACACATATATATAGAGAGAAACACACACACGAAGATATTATTTACACATATATTTTTGTATTTTTTCGACGAATATTGTTAGATGCATCCATTTTGATTTAAGTGTATATTTTATTATTTATTGTGAACCAGTGGATAAGGAAGAAATGGAAGAAGAAGAAGAAGAGGAGGAGATGGGAATGGAAATAGGATTACCAACAGATGTGAAGCATGTAACTCACATTGGAATAGATGGTGCTTCTACTTCTATCCTTTCAACAAGAAATTGGGATAATCTTAAATCCCCTAATGATAATTTCCTCACTCATTTCCCTTTATCTCCTTTTGCCATGGCTCATTCACCTCACTCCCCTAATCACATTTCCATGGCTAGCTCCTCTTAATTAATTCATTAATTACCGCTTTTCACTTGTTCGCCACTGAAAATACCATTTTTCGTTCGACTTGTATGTGTTAAGCATGTCGCCAACGTTCATCCCGAGCCAGGCCCATTTTCCCGCTCTCAAAAAAGGATCAATTTGAATGAAGTAATTCTTATATGTTGGAAAATTTGTGTCAATGTTACCTTTAATTGGTTCTTATCAAAGTGTGGTACTTGGATGGATTACTTGCCTATAGAGTTTGTTGGGTGGGGGAAAAAAGTTCAAATCTATATTTGTTTCTTTTTTTACTTCAGTAAAAAATAAATAAGTTCATTATTATTAATACTAATGTTATTATTATTGTTAATATTATTATTATTAGTAGTAGTAGTAGTAATGAGTAATGAATGGTGTATGCATTATTTATAAGATCCATTTTCCACCTATTGTTTTATGTTTTCCAGGCCAAACTATACTGGGTTTTGGTTCTTGTCAAAAGTAATGTAGTATGATTGCTTTACTTGCATATACAGTTTGTCGGTGTGGCAAAAAACATTAACGCATATTTTCTTTCCTCTTTCTTTTGGTGAAAAATAAATAAGTTCATTTATATTATTATTATTTGGGTATTTTATGTACGTCTGAAATTATGATGGAAGAAGCCACCAAAATATCGTCGCAAATAATATTTTTCTAACGAGATTTCGACGATAATAATTTTATCAAAGTTTAGTTGTTGTCAGAATTCAGCTCGTCAAATTCCAAAAGAATAATTGAAAATTAGTGAATAATTTCACAAGTTTTTTGTGAGGTTAGGGTCGTTAGACCCTAATTGTCTATTGAAAAACGTTGTTGGGCTAGCGCGACTTTTTAATTGCTTTTGGTGGATGAATTGGATGGTGATCTTAATAGGTTCAAGTCTTGGGTATTTATTAGGAAGCACTTTACCTCTTAACGTAGGATTTTTCATCGCGAAACTTAATTTAATCGGATGCCAATACAAATATCGGACACTTGATGGAACCCCCCAAAAAATATATTGATGGGTTCAATGTTGTTCCTCATGTATTTGTAAAATAATGATTATGGAAATTAAAACGTTAGCTTATTAACGTAAATATAAATGATATAAATGAAACACAAATTAATTCGAGCCCACTGAATTCACAGTGTTTCCTTAAGGAATTTAATCCCCTCCTAGTACCCAAGGTTATGGATTATTTTCTCCCAGGATAGAACGAATTACACACTGGTGTAGCGGTACTTCAAACCCCAATGTTTCAGCGAACACAAAGTTCGGCAGCAAATCACACTTACTGTTGCTTTCTTAGTAGTTTAAAACAATGCAGAACAAGGGAGGAGAAGTCAGAAATTCGTATGGAAAATCTGAGAGGAAGGAGTGCAAAGTATAGCTAGCGTTGAGTTTTTGGTGAAGAGAAGATCAATTGCTCTCAAGTTTTCAGTGTTTCTTTAACAGGCTGCTTGCACCCTCTATTTATAGTGCAATTAGCTGCTAAAAATGGACCCGCTGCCACTTATGAAGTGGAGCACTTGGCCATGGTGGACAGAGCACCAGGTTGTTTACTAATGGAGCAATCAATATGGCAATGGTGGCTGGAGCACTACTCATGGTGGAATGAGCACTTGCTCATTAATATTCACGGATTGGAAAACATCGGTTACAAACACGGATAATATTACGTTAATATTCACTATTAACAAATAAATTTGGTCCAAAAAATTAATCAATCAATCATTTGACCAAATCCGAAGCCGAAGCCGTAGCCGAGCGAGTGACGACGGCGCGAGGCTTGCCTTCTTCTTAACTCTTTAAGAGCTACATGAAGTGCATTTGTATATAAAACCCACCAAACTCCTTTTCCTCTACCAATGAGGGACAATGTCTCATTAAAAGGAGAGGAAAACTTAAAATTTTACTCAAAATTTTCATTTCCCTCCATTTCTCATTCACCCTTTTTTTAATACCTTTCTATATTAAAAAGAAACTCAAACATTCAAAACCTTACACATACTTAGATGTAGGATTGTGACTGCAACTCTAATCAAAATGAGAGTTTATTGTTGTTGATAATGAGTGATGGTTATCAAATACATTGTTAAGGAAACTGACCAATTCCAATCACAATAAAGATCAATAACAACAATAACAACACAGTGTAATCTCACTTAATGGGGTCTGGGGAGGGTAGTGTGTGCGCAGATCTTACCCTTACCCTGGGGTAGAGAGACTGTTTCCAAATAGACTCCTGACATTCTTCCCTCCAAGAACTTCCCACCTTGCTCTTGAGAGACTCGAACTCACAACCTCTTGATTAAAATTAGAGGTTGCTTACATAAAGATCATTTCGGCAAAATTATTCAATGTGGAAAGAAAGATGTAATAAGTAATTGGGACAATAAGGTTGAAATAGCATTCTCTGGTCATTTTTTCAACTTTATTTTGAAAAATAGCTACTGCCTTGAAGTTTTAAATTTGACATACGCATATATGACGTGGACATATTTGATTGTGAATAATATCCAGAATAAATTGGACACTTTTTCTTGAAGGAGAACTGTAGCTATCACCGCCAGAATATAAACACGATAATTAAACTAAAAAATCACCGACAAAAAATATATTTTGGAAAATTATTAAATAGAGAATAGAAGAGTTAAAAAGGAACTATAGGGAGTAGGGGTGTACATGGACCGGGTTGGTTCGGTTTTTATCAAAACCAAATCAAACCAATTATATCGGTTTGGATTGGTTCGGTTTTGTCGGGTTTTCGGGTTTTTTTGTTACATGAATATTATTTTAATCTTACTTTATTAAAATTATAGATAAAGCTTTGATAAGTGAATATATGTTTAGTAAATATGGAAAAAATTGACAAACATATGATCTATTAAAATATTCTAATCGGAGAATTTTTGTAGTAACACATGATAGTTATTTTCTTAGTCGTCTAACAATAATTTTTCGTTAATTTACGTTTTCAAGGTTAATACATGAGAGGATCTCAAATATTTCTACATTTTCTAAAGAAAAATCATTATAAAGTCTTAAAAATATAAATAAAAATTTACATATTTATATGTCGGTTTGGTTCAGATTTTTTTACTCAATACCAAGCCAAATCAAACCAAACTTAATCGGATTTTTTAATCGGTTTGATGCGGTTTTCCGGTTCGGTTTGAACACCCCTAACGGGGAGTGACATTCAAATGTTTCCTACAAGAACAGAAGAAGGAAACTCTTAAATTAAAAAACGTGAACGAAACTAAAACACATAAATAACAAAATAAGCAATCAATGCAATTATAACATTTCATGTCTATTACGTAATTACTTTTTAAAAAAAAATTGAGGGCGAGCATCAGTATAATGGTAAAATTGCAATTTTAGTAATTCATGCATCACGATGTCAAGGTATGAAAAATAATCTCCTTGCAAAAATATATAGTAAGAAAATAACTTTCACTCATAATCAAGAGAAGAATATTCCTCAATTAGATGGAAAACGTTTGGTTTAGAAACATTTTTTTATCAACCAAACGCTAAAAATAAAAAAATATTTTCGTTATACCCAATACAATCTTGATTTAAAGAGCTTTAAATTGTTGACTACTTGACTTAGATTACATCTTTTCATTCCTCTTTCTCTTCTTTTTTCCTTTTTTCTTTCTTTCTTTTTTTCTTTTTAGGTGAAACGCTATTATAGGTATAATGATAATGACACATTTGTTCTTTTCAACTTCTAATTGGAAAACGGCACGTGATAGAATAACAAATACTAGTAGGATAAAATAAACTAGAATTAGGTGATATTATCTTCAAAGTAGATAGATCAACTATATATATATATTTTTTTGCGATTAATTTTGACCTTGTCTTCTGCTTTCTCCTTGCCCGTATTTTGACTAATTGAGTATTCACAAAAACAAAAAAAAAAATGATGTAGGTGAAGCTTAATGAGACCCATAAGATGGTGGCAAATAATTTTTGCTAAGAAATTTTGCCTTGGATATAGTCCAATAAGTAAATTTCGATACATAGTATAGTAAAGAATAGTTGTGATATAAATTTTCATCCATTAAGCTTTTTTAAAAAATAGATTTTTGCCGACCTCTAAGTAATTTTTATTTTGTAACTCAAAATAAATTCAAGATTTCAGAGTAATAGGTGTTTGCTAATATAAATTCCGAAAGAAGAGGAAATAAAATTTAGTTATGTTCTCAGTTCTTATCTAAAAATTTTAATAATTGCCTATGTAAATTTAATAAGTCTGGTCAAAGGTATTGGATGCTCAAGCACCCATATAGTTCCACCACTTGCTCCAAGATTAATCAATCTATTGGATATGAATTAACCATTTTATTTTTCCACAAGAATGATAACAAGTAGAGCGGAGTTTGTTGGGTGAGTGGATCCCTTCATAGAAGATCTGGGATCGATTCCCATCACCAGCAGCCTCTCAGTTAGAGCTCGTCGCCCGTGGCTTGCCTTGTGTGGTTTACATTTTCCGTATGATTTGTAAATTATTACACAATGAGCAGGTTACTCAGTACGCACCCGAAAAATAGCAACTTTGCATTTCCCTTGGAATTTTCCAAAAAAGAAAAAAGAAAAAAAAACAAGCAGTGCGAAGAGACTGCTTTATATCCATCAACCCAATTGAAAAAGAAAGGTGGGGTATTATTCACCAAAAGCTCTTATTGAAAGCTATAGGTTTCTGCCCCAAATATTTAATGGAGTACTGGTTTTGTGGTTTTACCTCAAGAAAAAAAAAAGTTAACAAAATTGTGGTAAGTAATAAGTACTCATATATCAACAACAACAACAACAACGACCCAGTATAATCCCACAAGTGGGGTCTGAGAAGGGTAATATGTACGCAGACCTTACCCCTACCCCGAAGGGTAGAAAGAATGAAGTCAAACCAAATCGATTAAAAAATTCGATATTGTTTGGTTTGATTTAGTTTGGTATTGAGTAAAAAAATTCGAACCAAACGGATAAATAAATATATAAATTTTATATAAACTTTTTAAAACTTTATATAGAATTTTCTTTAAAAAATATCTAGAAATATTTGGGATTCTCTTATGGGATGTAATATTTAATAGAATATGAAGTGCTCCGTTTTTATTAACTTTAAATAATGTGTTGTATGATCACTTTTTTATCAAGTGTTATTGAAATGCGTCAATCTCTTTGTTCTTCCATATTCATATGTCAAGATCTATTAAATTCTTATATCTTTTTCGAATTTGAAGTGGTATTTCGATAATTGAAAATTAAATAGAACATATCATTATTTAGGTATCATATTGTTTTTT